CATACTGTCTCTTGCAATCAGTCATATGAGATGGGACAAACAATTGACATTCCATAACATTCTCGACGGAGAATAATAATTTTCCGATAATCTGTGAAACATATTTGGTCTATTTTATGTAGAAGTTTACTGTCCATTACAGCATATATTCGCGTACCAGAAAAGAAATATACAGCTGCTATGATATAAATCAATGATGGAGTATGTGTTCATGATCTTCATCTGAGTGATAAAATTGTAGATGTTCATTTGTTAACCAAAAAACCTTCAAATACACGTAAATGATGTGTGTCATTTCAAGCATGAGATGAGACTATGCGATATAATAATAATAATCTGACAACCGAATTAATTGATAACCATTAATTAAATATCATATGATACGATGACCGAATAAGTTTGCTTATGAGCTGACATCGACTAGTAATCCTTGTTCACGAAACTTTCTAAATTTCTGTGTACAGATAAGCTGATAAGCTCCTAAAATTACTCGTTGATAAAATGAATGTAAGCATAATCAACTGATAAGCCGACGTGTGTATAAAATTCAATCGTTTGAGAAATTTCATGACATAGATGTTATGAAAAAACTATCCCAAAAGTAAATTATAAATCAATTCAAAATTAAACATTAACTTACTGTTTGAATTTTGTTTGAATTCTGTTTGAATTTTCACGTGATGTACAAGTAGGATTGTGTTTGTTAGAATTGCACCTAATGTACAGAATAGGAGAATAGTTAGCCTAATCTTGTGTCGTTTTGAAAGATCAGAAAATTTCATATTTCTTTGAAAAACACTGATGATAATACTGATAAATCTGCTCACTTTTTTTATTTATATGAAATTTTTACTTTTGTTTTTCAACATATTTTCTATCTGAAACAAAATCAACACTGAATAATACTGCCAAATTGAAAAAAAAAATTGAATATATTTTAGCTGCATAATATCATAATATCATAATATTATTTCACCTTTTATTCACCCTTAATATAGAACTTATACTAAATAACAATGTACTTAATTAGAAAACAAATTTTAGGTCTACCTGATAACACAGAGAATAAAAATTTTAAAAGAAATACAACTCTATCTTGAGATTTTCTGCCATACAGAACAGTTGACTGTGGTCTAGCATTGATTTATCGATTACGTGGCCTATAGAATTAGGTCGCTAAAATACTCCAAAAACTCCAAAATCAGAATGCAAATAACCTAAAGTCAACATCGTCAGCGTAACTTCAGATTATATCAGTTTCACAAAAGAAACTGTGAAATAATGGAAAAACAAAAAAAAAATATCCAAGTACTTTCAACTTGAAACTATGACAATGAAAGAAGTTATTCAAAGTGTGAATAACCTAATAATCACAAAACTGAGCAAGAACGTGATTTTGTGGTCTGATTTTGGTGGAATGTTGACAGATAAAAGAATGAAATGTATTTTTAATTAGACATATTTAAAATCACACAACATAGCAGTGAAACTATGGTATTCAGTTTTTATTTTGGTAGTAAGAAAAGCGTAAAAAAAGATTCAAAATCATTGATTAAAAAACTGCTCATATACAATATCCTGAAAAAACTTCACTTGAGAAAGAAAATTGCATGGAAATGCGATAATGGGATTGATCAACTCACTATATCAGCAATTCCGCCTGAACCGTTAGACAATCGATTATTTTTAATAAGCTAACTGTTAGAATCTGCGAATCTTAAGCTAGAGCGTAACTGACGCTGTTGACATATTCTATCGTAGTATCAGTTTCGATTAGGATTATATGTACAAGTCAAATTAAGTGCAGTGTTAGTAGGTTCAGAAACATATTTCCTACATGAAACTTTCATGTAAAATTCTTGCTAAAACGTCATTTTTATTCCAACCACAGCGGTTTTACAGGTATTTATTCATCACATACAGAAATAAACGAAACATCTATTATCCTAAGAAATTAAGAGGTCGTTTGTAGATTTTAAGATGACCTAGGAAATATAAAAAATGAGCCTAAATTTTGACAAACGCTTCGGAGTATCGTGAATTACAGAAGGATCTGAAGCATGGCACATTGATGTCTGTTAAAACTATTCTACAACCCTTGCCACACTTTACGGTGATTTGTATTTGGATAGTCCTGCATACGTTTCCAGTCTCATTGGACACACACGCAGCAAATGCGAGGTTTCTTGATTTGTCCATTTTCTTACTTACTCACTATCTTTCTCCTGTTAGCTTCAGTTTCAAATGCTGTTTCGCAATGTGATGACAATTGTTCTTTTTTCTTACCATACTGAATATAATGTGAAATATTTTTGCAGTTGCCTTTACGTCTGCTTCTGTATATTGAGCTTGTGATCTTAAATTATCTGCTTTCTTTCAGCTGGCGTTCACTGATGACTTTCTTCTGGTGGGATATATCCTCGTGACATTTAGAACTAATAGACTACTTCATCACCCTTCCTTTGTTTTCCAAGTTTGGTTCTATACACTGAATATATCCTGAAGGAGCTGGAACATATCGGTGAGAGCTCTTTTGAATGCGTTGAATTTAACGGAATTCATTTATTTAATGGTGGAATTAAACTTTTTCGATATTCACTGCCCGAATGTTCAGTGTGACTTGAGATTCAGATTTGTTTTGACAATCAGATAGCGGTGATATGGGGCTACATCATCCTATGTTTTTTTTTCACATCCCAAATGGTCCTTCTGAATTTAATTATTGATACATAAATGGTCGATTCGGTTCTAAGTATACTTGGTCCACTAAAGACTTTGTAGCTTTGTGTATGCACTGGCTTGAGAATCGTCGATGACCAGTTTGTAGAAAGCACATAGGTTCGTGAATCGCCTATCCCTATCGTTCCTTTCTACCAGTTCATGTCGTCCAGTGGTGTCTACATATCCGGTGTTGATCATGCCAACTTCCACATTAGGGTATCTCATCAGAACAATTCGATCTTTTGATGAGCATCTCCATTACCTTTTTTTAGAAGTGATCTTAAACGTGGTCACGGTAATGAATTGATATATTCATAGCATTGAATTAGGTTCGTTGTTCTGTTCTCATTCTTTGTTTTGAAGGATGCTTTAATGACCCTTGATACATGAGATGCCAATCCATTTCATGCTTTTGGTACTAGCTCGCACAGGACAAGTGCAAAGGCTTGTGTATTTGTAGCCCTTCCTATTAGTTATTTTCAATACTAATTGTTGTTATGTCATAAATAACTAAACAAACTGTGGTTTAAGCACCCACCACATGATCTGCTCCGACGTGTCTTTAAACCTTCTTTGTTGTGAATGACCTACTAACTGGAAGACATTATTATCCCACTATATTGATGTGATTTAAAACTTTATTCATTTACATAAGACGTTCACTATTGGTCGGTATGTTTGATCCTTTCATCTGGTAACTGTAAGTTACCTATTAATTGTACTAATCTCATGGTTTTCAGGTTAAGAAACAAATAAAGTTTAAAGCAGGAGTTGATCTTCCTGTGACTATAGATTTCTCATGGACTCTGTGCACGCCAAAATTGCGTTTACCGTTGTAAAACTACATCTGTAGGACAAACTAAATCCTACATTTCCCTCCTAATGATCAGTGTGGACAAAAAGTTACCTTGAAGCAAGTCCTAGGTGTCCGAATTAAATTTATTGACTCCCACTAATTCAAAGCACCTCCAGGTTGTAATTATTATTTTATGCAGCAACTGGAAATTGTAACGCGGATATCTTAAAAGAACACCCAAAAATGAAATCTTAATGTGACATGAAAATATGAATTGACTGATGGACTCTAAGGCACCTAAGTATGTGCTCGATTTTCTGAACCATTTTTAATCAGTCAGGCTGCCAAAATCACATTGGTGCTGTGATACGATTATCCATTATAATCCGATATTAGTAGTAATAGTTCAATATCAGGTAACTATCTGGCAACCATATTAGAACAGACGACGCATATATTACCAATGCTAATCAATTTTTACTTGAAAAAAGTTCTTGAGGTAGTATAAACATAAAGTGTCAAGTCGATTTATATATGCAACGTTAAGAATATTCACCGACATTTTACATGTTTTCATTCAAGGCGAAGAAGCGAAGATAAGATTATTTGAAATATACACTTCACGAATCATATCCCAACATCATACTGGTGATCTCCGTTGTGTGCTTGATAACGAAAGTCATTAAAACTTAAATGCGACAACATCTATTTCTACAGACGACAACTGCTGTTAATATTAGGTCAAATAATGATTGTATATTGATTGAACACATAACGTTTCTAATCCCTCTTGTAGAAATATACACAATATGCTAGTGATCAGTTTATTGTACAACATGAGATATACCTTGAATGAACATTTTGGAGAGTTTTATCCTGTCAACAATCGTAAGTACCATTGTCAATTACAAAAATGTGAACGGCTTTCAATATTTTGTCCAGAACAATCACTTGATGTTGTAAAATTGTTAAAACATAAGGAAACACATTATTTCTAATGAAACACGTTTTAATCGATGTTAATGCATCCAACGTGAAGCGGTATTGATAGTAATCGAAAACACATTTTATAACAACATATCTGGATAAATGAAGTCAACAGTCAGCAAACTGGAAAGTAGAATAAAAGGAAACCAATCAAGGGCTGCCTCTTATTAATATATGTATGAAAATAATTATTCAGTAAAAGCTCTTATTTCTGACTGAATGAATCTTACAATATATGCAGTAATGTTTGTTTGCTGTGTAAATTAAAAATCCAACTGTGATAGAGCGAATTTGCATAAATTTCATTAATTCGGGATAGTGCTATTAATAGAAAGAGTTATGTTCATCCAATGCTGAAATAAGGGACACTAGAATTGACACGAATTGAAAGCGTTTTCCTACTTATTTTTTCATCAAGCATAAGATTATGTCATTACTTTATGTTACTTCTTACAAATTTAATGGAAAATTATTGATTATCAATGAATTATTTAGATAAACAGTCAAGAAGTTGCCTTGATGAAATGAGAGAAATTTTCCGATCATTTTTTGAACAACGTAATCAATTTTCCAGTATACATAATAATACACGAAATGAAGTAAGTCGAGTATTGGATAAGACACTGATTTAAATTTGCGATTGTCAGTTGACTTTTATTTTACACTTTAAAGCATCCTTAACACGAATTGGTGGTGGTGGTGTTTGGTTCTCTGAGCTGGGTGTTTTGATTGTGGAGCTTTCATTATTCTTCGACTAAACAACATCATCAGCACAAACTTGAGATATAAGTGGGGCGCATTCGAATTTCTCCATGTTTGACCTGTAGCTTGTTCTACGAACACGATTTTAACCATAAATTCAATTGATTTACACGACAGAAAGATGCTGAATGATGAGACTTTATCATTAGGCTGTTCCCACAAATTATTGAATGTACTAACTACAATTAATTGATATGTTGATTTGTGGCAAACGATTGGCATGAATTCAGTCATCGTCTGTTTGATACCTAAGATTTATTTTATGATATTTACCCGAAATATTGATGATGTACACGATTTCCACCGTGGTTCTAATCGATTTCTGTGTTTATGTTGTATAGGTTCATGATTTGTTTATGAAGTTGAAAAGAACATTAACTCAATCATTATCATCCATAGCATGGACCAGTGACGGTGAAAAACTCAGAGCCATTTATACGGTTTGTCTGATTTTTGATAATTTCTGTCAATTTTAATCCGATGTGTTATTATTCAGGTTGATCGAATTGAATTTTGGTCATATAAAATAGATGATTTTCACAAAATATCCAATAACTACTTGCGGACAGTAGATTCAGTAAGTTCTTTATTATTGTCCGTTTCGTTTACCTGGAATGAATTAACTAGCTCCATTTTTCATAGTAATGTGAATGATAGATAAGCTCAAATATTTGAATGATCGAGTTTTTTTTATCAATCATCTTTATTGAACACATTGACAACTCTGAGAATAGTTTACTATATCATTTTGTTTTCTGTTTCAGCAAAAACGTTTTTTAGACAACTACTACATGAATGTTTACCTTTCTCAAACGTTAAACTACTATGTGTCAGTGGTTAGACTTTCATTTATAAGCAACATGTAAGTTGTGTGTTTTGTTTTTTCCATTTGTTTTGAATATTCTGTGAATATTTTGTGAAGAATAAACTATGTTTTCGTGGAGTCAAAATACTTCTTCTACTCAAAATATTTGAAATGCCCATTTTAAAAGAAGCAACAAAATGGATTACACAATTCATGTTTTTAGTTCGTGTAACATATCATGTTGAAATAAAATCTGCATGCCTTAATTTGAATATCCTCTGATTTTCAACCTCAGTCAGTCAGTCAGTCAGTCAGATGCAACGTAGAACTTTGTACGTAAGTACATCAGTTCATGTTGCCATACCACACATCAGCACAGAGATGTAATTGTCAATTCAAATCCAATAGTAGAAGAGGTAGTAAACGTATTAGGAGTAATTGCAGAGGTTAGGATTAGAGGATATTATTCATAAGTATAATTCAGTGAGATAAGTTTAGCAAGTTAAAACTAGAGGGGTTGAAGAATCCAGGAGGTTAGGATTTGTAAGAATACAAAGAATAAATGCACCGGCGCCACTGGATTTTCAACCTCATGTATAATTCTTTTCTGTGAAACAACAGGTTTTCACTAATTTTTAAAGACAAAAATAGTTCATAATAATGCATCTTTTATTTTAACAAATACAAATGAATTGGAATTGATCAGGATTAGAAGTGATGGTGAGCAATATATCATTTATCCTGGAGTGTATTTGGCTGCTGCGTTAATACAACCATCCTTCTTAAGTGAATACTATTCAATAACTGAAAAATATGGAATTCTTAGTTGGATTATCGGTCGAACAATAATTTATGAAGGTATGATTTTCTTGTTGAAGGAATTTTAGAGTTTTACGGAGTAATTACAAGCAGTTGAGATTAGCTTATCTGTATTTTCTTTTTTGTTGACACACAACGAATTAAATTGTGTTGATTGTATGCATGTGACTTGTTTCTAATTAGTTGTCAAATCTTTCTTAACTAAAACTGATGTTACACGACAATATTCAGTCTATTACGATTTAGTTGCTGATATGAGATTTATTTTACTAGAAAAGGTTAGGAGTAAAAAAGTGTTATGCATTTATTATTCTCCGGAGATCAATAGAGAGTCTATCACGTGCGTTGATTTGTCAGATTTCGAGCTATATGAACTAGTCATGCTTCCTTTTATAATCGATCAATGTAAATTGAATTAATGTTGGTTGCCGAGCATATCCGAAGCTTTTATTGTATTTATTTCACAAATTACTGCCGAAACCACTGATAAATATTCCGATTTGAATTCACATACAACCAATATAATTTTGTATAATTATATACTCAAATTTATACTGTATCAAAACAATGGGGCTGTGTGTTTTAACCTATTATAAACTGTGAAATATGTATTGATAATTGACATTATCGATTTCATGGAGCATTCAAAACTCTTTGATTAAGAGGCATTTCCGTCACTGAACTCTGTTCTATGAATACATATATTTCAATTGAAAGCAGAATCGAAACAGTTGCTTCGTCTTTATATCTGAAAAACAAATAATATCAGTGAAATGACTTTTGTTTTTTTACAGCTTTCCGTAATCAAATGTTGGATGAAAGTTCTCAGTCTAAATGTGAATCAGAAGATTTATCAGCAATTGAAAATCAATTGTGTTGTGTATCAAGACAAATTAACAATCGAACAGTTGAAAAGAAAGTAAGTGATTTGTTAAGTGAAAGTTATGTTGAAGAATGATTTAATTGATTATTTCACAATTTTCAGTATTCCGATTGTGAAACTTATTTTCTTGTTAAAGAAATTGAAATAACATATAAATCAACGGTAACAGATATTCGCAGAATAACACACCTTATGTTTACGTTTACAAACTCTGCATGGTTCGTGAACAAAATTTATGCTTCTGATCATTGCAAGGAATTCGATAACATTGGAACTGAACATTGATTGGGAAAAAGTATGAAATTTTATTCTGTCAGTGAATGAAATTAGTTAAAAGGCAGTTGTGAAGAGATGGTGGAGAAGATTTGTAGCTCAGGTGGATGATTGTGGTGGTGGTTTTAGGTTCTCTGAGCTGGATGTTTTGATTGTGAAGCTTTCATTGTTCTTCGACTGAATTACATCATCAGCACAAACTTGAGATAGAAGTGAAGCATTCGTATTTCTCAATGTTTGTCCTGTAGCTTGTTCTGCTAACCTCGATCTTGATTAATTGCTGTTGACCTTAAATTCAGTTGACAGTTTTGTCAGTCTATTGCTTACTGTCGTTCTTATCAGTTCTGATAATAATTATACCAAAAGAGTTATTGATGTGAACCGAAAGATAACCTATTTCAGGCTTATATTAGCATATCAAAAATGTTGCTTTCTGGACTGCGATTTGAAGTCAATATTCAGAATTATCAACTACAATGCAATCTCATGAGTAACCCTGTGGTAATTCAGCATCATTCATTCAGTGTTTACTAGGCTACATTTAGTAATTTTACTAAATAATAGCACTTCTGATACTAAGGCTGATAAGCTGACTGCGCTTTTCTAAAGCATGCTTCAGAAAACAACATTTGTGGTTTCAATGTTATTTACTCTATTACGCATATGTGTATTTCAAAACACACCGATTCATCCGATTTATGTCACATTTAAATAGACACAAAGTTATATATGTATAACCTGATATATTTCAAAGATGTAACCCATGTTTTACTTTGTCTTAATATTGTTACTGTCAACTAGAATTCAAAGCAACTGGTATCTGATATTATTGGTCTTACGTTATCATTTTCCGTAAGTGATTTTAAGTTAAGGTAACATTGATTTTAGTCAATCATCATGAACATTGATGGTGAATGAACTTACGAATTATGTGTGTATGTTGTTGAAATCTCGCGAATGTTGTAGGTAAATTTCAACTGAATTAAATACGTTAGAAGGGGGAAATGCATTTGAAGAAGCTTAGATTTTATATCAAAGTAAATACATTGATTTAAAATCACAATCAATTGAGAAAGATTACATCACTACATATAATAGGCGAAATTACAAATAGATAGTAGGGAGACAGGTGTACTGATAGCAGTAAGAAAATTGTAAAATATGATAACTAAAGTTTTAATAATATTAGGTCAAAGGTGGATGAATAGACTTCAAATAATCAGTAAAAAACATCGAAACCACTACGTAAGCAAATTTGTAAAAATAAAAATAAAATAAAAAATATAATGTCAATCGTTGGTTACGTCATATCCGGCCACGGAAGAGATAGGTGTGTCACGACTTCTTCTGAACACATAAATTTGGGTTGAATGTACGTATTCCTATGGCTTCAACAATGTTTAGGATACTGGATCGAAATCCGTTGGGAAATGATTGAGGTATACGATAGATCACTCGAAAAGTTCTAGACGTATCTACAATGTGACCACTATCTACCAGTTCTGCTAAGATAGAAATGCGTATTGTTTTTGACTAACCCTTCGTAAACCATGCTGAGAGATATTTACTCATTCGATAGGTAAGTAGCCTGGAAGTACGCTCGATATAGCTATCCTTCATTCGGGTAAACATCGCTGGTCAACTGGAGAATGTCATTGCAAGTTTGACAGCGTTGAATCCACTTGTACTTTTGCCTATTATATGTAGTGACGTAATCTTCTACATTTCATTGTGATTATGACTAAAATTGCCTTGATTGGTTTAACATTATCGTATCGATATTCATGTATATTAGAATAAAGCCTGATGACGATCTAATCAAAAACTAGGTAATTGTCAGTTCATATTTATATGATATTCCGATTAAAGAAAACGGATGTAGGTGAAGTTTTATAACTTTGTTTATTGTAAACTGCTAAGTTCAGTTTGAATTTATCGACATTTCACAGATATATCATTATTTTGTTATCAATTTCCGATGATAGAGTAATTTATTCCAAGTCATCAAGTCGAACTTAGGAGCTAAACCTTTATTGTATGCAGTTGACCAGTTGTTCAATGCATTCATCAAGTTATCACCCATCAAAATTCTGTTAAAAATGCGATCTATACTGTAATGTGATACTTTTATGTTCAATAAAAGATTGTCATCATAATATGAATCCAACTTAAATAATAAAACATAAGTTGTATATGTCTTTCATGAGAACAACAAAACGTCACGTACATAATCGGTAAAATTGAAACTTACTCATGTTGAGATTGTTTACAATTATTCACAATAACCGGTATGATAGTTTATTAATGAAAATGACTGATTAGCCATACTTTAATGTGGTTCTCTTCAAAAAGTAGGAGTAAAAGTGACCGTCTAAATATAAATAATATTCCTTCATGTTCATTGCTTTGAATGTTGTGTAGAGATACGGAGATCACATGACGGGACATGATAGTGATTTGAAGAAAAAGAAGTCATTTTTCAAAACATTCGCTAAAGTAAGTAATGAACACTGGCTGAATTTCATTTCAACTTAAACTTGTCCAGGTTCATTTACGTGATATGCAGTGCGTTATTATTGTCGCTTAGCCACGGTCTTGTACACTAGCAATCGAAACATCTTATGAAGCAAGGAATATACACAAAATGAGAATATAGGTAGAGAAAGTTAGATGAAATGTAATGAATCTTTTGAGAGATAAAATTATTAAACATTTGTTCAGTAATGCGGTCTGTTATTGACAAATCAATTTTAAAAACCTTAACATCGTAGATTAGAATACGTTTCAAAAACTATTAACAAATAATATGTATGTCATTGATTTTAGTAACTATGAGCTATTTGTTAAACATGCTAACGAAGCTGTCGAAAGAATGTGGTTTTTTTTCAAGAAAATTAAAATGCAGTCATCATAAATGTGAGTACTCACCAAGAGAGTTGAGACTGATCACTAATTGTAAGACAGAGATTTTGGTAAATTGTCACGATGAAATGTTCCGGTTGAAGTGAACTGTTATCAGGACTATCCTAAACATCGAAATGATTTGAATGTGAAAACTTAAATAAAGGGCAGAAATTTTCATTCGAAGTTTTCATCATTGTTCTTAAAATCATTTAGAGATGCATTGTAGAATGCCTACTTACTTCCTTACGCCTGTTAGCCACAATGGAACATAGGCAGCCCACCAGATTTCCCCAACCAACTCTGTTCCGGTCTTCTCTTTTCATTTCTGTCCAATTTTTGTTCATTCCTATCATATCTTTGCACCAATACACATCCATAAATGAAAACACACGATGTCTTTTGTACTGACAATATAATGACGACTTAATAAAGAGCAATTACATGTTATTCGATTAGGAGTAGAAGATAATGAATTGGAAGGATGCATTGTGTTTTCCAATTTTACTTTCTAGCAATCACCACATTCACCGATTGTCTATTTCGACGATGATACATTGGATATGTTGCGTGTTTTTTAGCTGATAAGGAGAGTTGTAATATACAATCAGGCACATAATGCAGGAATTCAAGTGTTCATTACTAAGAGAGTGATTTGACGATAATCCAATTTTTCACTGATAATGAAATACTCACTAATAAAAGGGATAAACATTCGACAATAAAAGCGACACTTTCATCATCTGCGCTGATTCAGTAACTTTTTCTATCAGGTCGACATTACGACTCCTTTTTAAATAGCACGTTACTTAGTCAACACGTATGCAAAATATTGAAGAAATCAATCTCAGTGGTTACTGTGTAGTCCAGTTTTATTAATTGTAATACTATTCAGTAGTAACTCAATGTGTCTACATTAGAGTTGTTGACAATTTAAATATATATAACAGTGTGTTCCGATGTGTCTTTTATCTTTATCGACACAAATTCGCAGTCACAACAAACAATAAATTATTCATGATATACATTCACAGAGTTATTATTCGTATTCTAGATTATCTGCTATTTCGTTTGCTCTTTCTAATTGAAGGGGTTTTGCAATGGCTTCCATTCTGATCTAATTGGTTACGTGTTACAGTCGTTCGAAGATAAATTTAGGTAATCCTTTTGTAAATACATAAGTTTATTTAAAGTGTATTCATGTTATCTGTGTGAAATATTAGTCACCAATAGTCGACTGCTATATATATATTACAGCATACAGAATATCTTTTCAGTTTTACAACGTAGTAATGTGAATATTACAAACATGCGATATCGATAGTCATAGTAAAAGCAGTGTATCTTTAGTTATGAGCGTTGAATAATACGCAAATAAATGTTCAGTTGTTCACCGTTGAGGATTTATTTGTTGCAGTGCATGAAGCTCACATTCTTGTAGCAAATCTGTGTATGAAATATCACTTTATTTGCACTCTATGGATTTGGCATTTATTTGATCTTATTTTCAGTGTAAATGATATTCTTAAACACAGTTATGAATTTTCCGAAACTTATCAATGTCCTCTCGGTTCCAAAATGAATCCTGTGGATAAATGTACATTTTAAATAAACGAAACGATCATCTATGCCTGGGTATATGTTCTCTACTTTTTTCCATTGTAACCTACGAAGTTGAACATTTTATTGTTACATTCAAAAGGAGTATTTTAAGCAAGTCATCTAATAGTTTGAGAATATTTTCCATCCACTTCAAAGACTATTTTGAAATAATTTTTCGGTGTTAATGAAATAAATTCAATAATTATCAATTGACGTAATATATCACTGAACTCACACTGATAGGCTACACAAGCAGTGACAAGTAGAAAAAGACTAGACAAAGATAGAAGAACCGACCGCTTTGTTTGTTGAATTCAATAACTAGAAAAACGTACACGAAATAATCCAAAGTTACATAGTTTACTGCTCAATAACAGCAAACAGCATGATATATGTGAAAATCAAATTATATGTGAAACATTGACCTAATAGTTTTATCATAAGAAGTAGGAAATGACCCAATCTGTAATAGTGCCTTGTGAATTAGACTTTGAAGAGAATACGATGGCATCAATGCAAAGTGACAGCCTATAATGAAGTGTATAAAATAGCATACCTACAAGACCATATTGCGAAAATTCCAGCGTGACAACGTGTACATTAAGATTAGCCTAACAAGAATAGTGTGGTTGACAGAATCACTGGATTCGTATAAAAATGAATCAGCCAGCAGATAAGAGTTTGTCTGAAAGACGAAAAAATCAGAACAGATACGAAATGAGTACAATAATAATAAGTGATATATGTGCCAAGCTGAAGTTGTGCATTTTTATCACGTTCAATGAGTTCTAGACATATTTATACACGATTAAAATCGTTTACATAGATCAACGCAACTCAAGTCACGAAGTAATTATGAAGTTGCCGAAGGGTTCCAGCAAATGATTCACCATTCTCATCGGCTTTTGCTTTCTCACGAATGTCAATGATCATTGAATGATGTCTATAAATTTGAATTTCTGAAGGGTTATTTCACTTGACTTCATATTTCAATTTTCTACTCAGGTCATTGACGCGTTCATAAATAAAAAATGGACAACATAATTAATCTCAAGCGTAATGACCCCTTAACTATCAATGAATGCACACCGTCCACCGTACACATCAGATCGCGTTTGAGCATGCCATTCTGAGCATCTTCCGCAGTCCATAAGATGATTGTCGTAACGCAACCTTCGTAACTTGCGCCAATTATTCGCATTGAACATTCCATCTTTAAGAACACAATGAATCTTGTGAAATGTTTCAGTAAATGTATACCGTTTTAAAAGAAATATGTTGTTAATCTTAACATTTTGATCTTGCCTGTAAATTGGCATGTCTCTTGTAACATGTTTGTTATTTGAGAATAAATTATTATTATTATTATTATTATATAGCAGGATGTAACAAATCAGTGATATTGATGTTACTTTTCCTTGTTAACCTCGTCTACAACCCATGTCTGTAACCTTGCACTGGTTTTTACTTCCTACCGAGAAATCCTATTACAAGCTGGTCTGGACAACTATACTAAAAAAGAGCTCTTTCATAATTTCTTGAGCTGCAGAGTTAAAAATAAAAAGAATAAATGAAACAAAAAATTATATCACTGAGCCTCTTTATTATATTTTGTAAAATCAACATTATTAATAACAACTTGGTACTTCTGAATTTCCTCTATTCTTTCGACAAACTTCCCAATAGTTATCTCACCAATAATTTGTCTTCATTAACCTACATAAGTGCAGGTGTACAGTAATGACATTAAAAAAGTCTGAGTAAACATACCTTTGTTTTATCTATAAACGTATTTTCTGTTCCGCTCCTCGTCCCGTCTTCTTTATTCCTCTTTTTTCAGAACCTTATTCCAATCCACATATATTAGTCTGTATATTTGCAGTAGACTAGGTTACCCTAGCCAAGAACATGTAAAATCATTAGCTGATTAATATCAACCAGACCTTTGTACATTTACCGCATCAATTCTTGTTATATGAAAACCTGTCTGTACCATGAATCATTTCTCAGTCCATAAGATGATTGTCGTAACGCAACCTTCGTAACTTGCGCCAATTGATCGCTTTGTACATTCCATCTTTAAGAAAACAATGAATCTTGTGAAATGTTTCAGTAACTTTATACCGTTTTCAGAAAAAAATATGTTGCTAATCTTAACATTTTGATCTTGCCTGTAAATTGGCATGTCTCTTGTAACATGTTTGTTATTTGAGAATAAATTATTATTATTATTATTATTATTATTATACCAATATAACCAACTGTTTTCGGCAGATTTTTAATCTATGCATAAGGACGAACACCTTCAACCTTAGTTACACAAAAAGGAAAATTGATGGCGAACCCAACTAGATCACCATGCTGTCCGCCGTCGAGGTAGTAGATCGACAGTTGACTGCCGCCTGTTCTCAAGCACACGTTTCGATTCAGATCATACTCTAGTACGAGAACCTGTTTGTCTAAGGTTTATTCACCTTATGAAAGACAAAATAAGTGCAGTTCTACTCATCGATATCAAAACCAGGAACACATTTCAAGAGGAACTAGGAAAATAGTTAGGAAGCCACTAAAGTTATACCCATGCTTGAGCACCTTCGAACGGCATGTATAATGCTGTGGAGACAGTAATGATCCCTAAGAATAGGGTGACCCCTTAGGTTGAGGATAAGCAGCAGATTTCATGAGCATCTATCTACTCATAGACGCACAGAATATCATCTTATCTCACTCTATACATGAGGACGGGCGGAATCAGATTAAGCCTGTGCTGCTTAAAAGCTTACGCAAGGATTGAGAATACTGTCTGTTAGTGGCAGCGGGAGAGGTCAATAGGAGAGCGGTGATAGCTAACAGAAGACACCAGTTCAGACTTAATAAGGAAACCGGTATTAGTAGTTCGGTTGTTATCGAAACCACCTAAGAAATGGATGAAAATATTATTCATTCTCGTTCAATGAGATTGAGTTGAAGCGCTGAACATCTAGGGGATCAGGAAAACTGTCCTTCAGCAACACTCTAACCACCATTATCTTTATTCGACTTGAATAGCTAGTCCATCAAGGTCTTGTAATTCTTTATGAGATTGTGGAGACTAGAGCTGTTCTTCACAATACTCTATTAAAAACCGCCTGGTTTTCAGATATGAGTGATGCTTATTTCGTTCGTAGATTACCTGTAATCTCACCTCTTTGTTTTCTTGATGAGGTGTCATGTAGAGTCGGTTGTTATTCGTCCACTGTCCCACATTTTGCTGACAGAGAGTGTGTAGTGTGGCCATTTACTGCGTGTTCTAAAGCTTGGTAATTATCTCGTCTAGGCAATCGTTACTAACTAGCGTCTGACGGTTTATAAATCATAAGGTGAACACAAAGTGTTGAATACTTCTATTTGGGACGCAACACAACTAGAACAGCAGACTACCAGCGCTTTGAGATAAAATCATAATGCGAACGCCGGAAAGTGAATAGGCAAATTAACGGATGAGTCAACTCCTAGAGATAGAGCATGACTAAGAATATAAAGTCAGACAAAAATGCGACAGAAATGCAACAATCGAAATAAACACACGTGAATAAAAGCGACGAATGGTTGACAAGGTCAAATGACTAGTGAGACACATCATGTTAGCCCATACAAACCAAACAATAATAAGAACGAATGGTATATATAAATTGTTGCAATACAAATGGCTTGCTTAAATAAATTAATCAAAAAGGCCTAACTAATTTAAATGTAAGCGAACTGGAATATATGTGGAAGCACTACAGGTAACATCTTTGCAGTTTATTCTGTGTGCTTTCATTGCCTCAAGTTGCATGTTCTTCTGACCTGCCGGTTTGTTGCTCCTGATTTGTCTGGCGCCATTCAGTTGTTGATGGACCGACATTGATTGAAAGAAGGTAATCTTCAGTGTCAGATCAAACTTTAATGCGAAAAGTGTAATCCGTCATGTGGACTCATATTAGTTGCAGTGTACCAGTTTTCAAGATCAGTCGACCAGGAAAATAAAATCGTTGATGCTGCAGAATTTATGGTAAAACAGCATTTTCAACTAAGTCGACCAACACATACGACCCACACCAAAGGGGAGCCTTACCTGAAATTTGAAAAGAATCTGAGAAGTGAAGCTAAGCGCCAGTCTAGCTAATCAAACACTACGTTGTTGAAGAAAGGAGACTTTTCTTTACCTGAAATTTCTTCACTGTACATATTAGAGAAGCGACTTCAATCTCAGCAGTTTTATATATTGTGACGCTTGCACATTTTTATAGTGGAGGCATGATGTAAAGCAATTGAAAGCCGATGCATATCACATCAATTTTACACGGAAGCCAACAAAACGGAAACTAAATTAATGACGACGATTGTTTATTGATAATATATAAATTGTGACTTGAACAAATCGGAAAGATAGGATGACTGCAAGTTTTAAAACATTTGTAAGGGATAGCCCGCTCAAACGGAAGACAACAATGTAGGGTCGACGTATGATGAGAAAACGTGGGTAAAACAAGACTTTTTCCTCAAACTGTGCACCTGTACCAAATCCGTTTCAATAAGCCTGGTTTCTCCAGCCTGCCGAGAGGGTCGTGTTAATATGATTGACGCAAATCGTTCTGATTTCTATTCATCTATAAATTTATAAGAATGATCACAGAGGCTGAAGTCTGTTTTTGCAAGATTTATTCTGTAGCATCATCAATTAACTAGTTTCTTCTGTTGTGCGTAGATCATAATTTGAGACTACAAGAATTGTCCTAGCTTTCTGACAAACCGATCAGCCTTTTCTGGGTCCCCTTCCCTTCCGGCATACAGGGATTCAAATTTAGTTTGTTTGTCAAAAAAAATTGAAACATATCAAAATTTATGAAATCAGTATGTAAAAGATATCTGTCCTGTCTCCTGTCAATTCGAACTTTGTTATTGCATCTCTTTCTCAATGCCGAGTAGGAACTGCAGTCGAAATCATTCAGGAGACCTTCCACTTATGCCACGCTCTCCTCCTTGCCTGTAGTTAGCGTTCACTTTCGCGCATAATCCATATTTTTCTATTCTGTGGTGTGTGGTTTGACT